TTCTGAAGTGACTACTAGCAAAACCAGTGAAGACTGAAATGGCAATTTCTGACTTATTAGCCGTCATCAGTCAGCCATCCGGGCCCAACCTCAGCCCCGGAAGACTTTACGCTGGAACCCGGGATCTTGGGCTCATGGGGCTCTAACTTCAGCTTTAAGATACAACGGCACTAGCAGTTCTGCTAAACCAGTCGGTGAATGCCCTTCCTGCGATAAAATAATTGGCTGTATTGAGGACAGAGACGTCAAATGAGCGGCGAAGTTAGGCAACAGCACACAGTTCTCATTTGTCCAGTCTCCATCCCAAACATCTTCCGGGAAATCCCTTATGAAAATTTCATGATGGAGAAATGGTCGCAAATCTTTGAATCCTGCTTTGAAATTCGCCATCCTATTATTCTACCATTATTTGTTTACAAACTCGGCTGCACACCACTTCGTTCGACTTTTCCAACAACAGGGGTCTGTTAATGATTTGTCATGAACTGGCGAATTACTCTCAGTGCGTAAGAGGGCAAGGAGGCACCTGAAGCAAGGCACTATGGCAGGATTCTAATCACGTTGCAGGCAGTGCGAACGCATTTGCATATGTACCCGTAGAGGGTGCAGTTGGTGCATGAATTAAGGCCGGGTATCGACAGCGGCTAAGCCAGTCGGATTTCCAAAGACAGCCAGGAAAGACACTGAGCGTCAATGGATTCCTAGGCAAATTCAAAAACTGCCACCAGTAAAAAAAAGTCTCGATGCTCGACTAGTCTTCCTGTTCCCTCGTCTAAACACTTGCCAACTGAACATTCGTCTCCATTCGTCCATTATTATGATTACCATCAGGATGACTATATGGATAAGCATAATACCCTATTTTGAAGGGCCGCGAATCTGATGATAATCGATTAACACGAGTTGTATCCCATCAAAGCCACGGTTCTATGCGGCATAGCATCTTCAAGGATAATCAGACTCCATCTCCTTGATATGGAGCGAGGATTACAGTGGCCCGCGATTTTTATTAAGGTGGGTTACAAAATTGCGCGTTCTGCAATAAGGGACAGGCTTAAGATACCGCGGACGAATGGCGGGACAATTGCTTATATGGTCAGAGCTACGGTGCCGCTGACCAGGCAGATTTTGGAGGCAAACATTTTCCTGAAATCCAAATTTTTATTGAATTCAGTGTTCGACTGTGTTGACGCCAGTGGCCTTCTTGAGACCTACCGCGGTTCAGAATTATCCAGTTACTATTCATTTATATTTTTCATCACAGAAGTTTGAAGAAGAAAAGGTTACACGTCCTTTTTTAAATGAAAACGTAACTTG